AGTGTTAAGTGTGGCTTAAGTTGAATAAGCTTTGAAGTTTCACAATCTTACTTGTATATAATATGAGAGCTTTGTTCAATACAATAATCTGGAGTAGTTCTGACTATCAAATGTAAGGAACAAGTCCGCTACGTCCACATTGTACTTAAGGGAGAGCACCAGCTCACTGGTCCTCACAGAGAAGAGGAGCATGAAAATGAACCGCCTGCAGTCCATGTCTCCAAGGTGACGTAGTGTATGAGCTGACTTTGTCATGGTGAATGGTGTGTCATCTAGGCAGTACGCAACAAAACCTGACATTTTCTGGAGAGTCATCGCTGTGTTTCCAGCGGCTTTTTAGGCAACAAATGTGGGTGTGTTTGGCAACCTGTTGCTGTTTTTCTACGGGGTTAGTGCCACGACAAGGTGTTGGCTTTTACCGAGATGTCGCTGCATTTCCTACTGGGATAGTGCCATAAAAAGCAGTTATCTTTAATTGAGACATTGCTGCATTTCCTGCCGGGATTGTGCCACGAAAAGAAAAAGAAAATCGCACCATTTTTGATTTAACAAGATTTCTTCTTTAAACACAGGCTTATTTCCAGGTGGCAATCAGGCCCCTTCATCCCACTGGACCCAGTGCAACTGTGCTGCCTACACTAGCCATGTTTCCATCAGCCTGTTTAGATGCGCATCTAGAAGTACCGCATCAGAAAATTATGATGCAAACGCCAAAATTCGAATTAAAATCCCCTGATTCGCACAAACTAAAATACGCTCACTTTAGCCGGGTTTTGGTTGATTCAAAAAAACGGGGGATGGAAACAGTTATGTTTGAATTAAGTCTGACGTAGCGCACCTCTCTCCATGGTGATATCCACACTCCAGGTCAGGAAGGTGGTAATGCATTTACAAGCGCCAGAAAACGTAGAAGAAGAAGAATGCAAGACTTGTTTTGTTTCCGGTTCTGCGGAAAACTCGCACGAGTTCATAGTTTTCACCAAAGTCCGTACATTTAATGGAAACACAGGATTCGTATTTCTTTTAATGCGCATTTCCCAATGATTCAAATCACTTTTGGATGGAAACATAGCTACTGTCTATTTCTACACCCCTGGATAGTGCCATGAAAAGTTTTCTAAATTTTGAGAGACATCGCTGAGACACTGAGACATCGCTGAATTTCCAGCGGAGATTGTGCCACGAAAAGTGGTTGGTTTGGGTTTTTGTTGTTGTTATTGTTGTGCTGAAACCTGACTTCACTTTAACCACAGCGTTGCCGAAACATAAAGTTTCAACGTATCTGCTAAATAATAACGTATAAATGTAATGTATCCGTAGTTTGCTGAAATGTACAGTGCCAACATTGTTTTCTGGTGACTGGGTTGCGCTTTAAAATGTGTGAACATTAAACAACCTACAAGTATATCAAGTTCAAAACACCAATATGCATCAGAACAAACTGTTACAGTGCGAGATATTCATGTTACATATAACCAAAATTAAATGTGTTTTCCATACATGTATTCCAATTGCTGAATTTCATGTTGTAAGTGTGTATGTGACGATTATGTGCACCTGAGTTTGTGTGTATGTGTGCTATCAAAGGCTCTTTATAGTGATATCAGTATGAACTCTCGGCCTGGAGCTTATTGAGAGCCAAATTAACAGATGATAAAATGTAAAACTCTTGTGTTTGGTCTCTTGTCAATTTTTTCTTTGTGTGCTGAAAAAAGTTGGCTGAGATATAAAAGCTGAGCCGCACCAGCTATTTGAAAAATATCATTTTGGAAGGAAATCAAGATCCTGTGTGTGTCTGCTTCAGAGCGGATGCTGGAAATTTGACTAAAAATAATTAAAGTAGTTCAGTCAGTCGTACTCTTCATGGTCCTGCTCCTTTGATTTCTCCTTTCTAATTTCTTTTTACATGTGTTTTTCTTTCATATTTAATATGCACGGTGGGTTTTAAGATGTTAGAGAGACTCCTTCTGTTCTCATTAAGAAAAGAAGCATTTGCATATTTATGGTTGAAAGGACCGTAAAATGTAAAGCCCCTAAAACAGAGGACTTTCCTGTTTCTGTGGTGTTGTTGAGGGTTTTTAAGCTTAATATAGACAGTCATGTTTATTACAGTTTTTGGCTGATTGAAATTCTAGTTGTACTGTGGAATAAGTTGCATTAAAAGGACTGAATCTATGAATATTAGAGCTTTAGGATGAAAAACAAACAGAAAATATATCTTTGTTGGTATCTTTGTTCATATTGATGATCCTCACCTGGAAGGAAATTCTTCATATACTGTACATCCATGTCCAACACAACCACCAGAATAAATGCTGGCATTGTACATTTCTGCAAACCACTGATGCTTTACATTGGTACATGAAATGTTATGTTTCAACACGGCTGTGGTTTAACTGAAGTTAGGTTTTGCACAACAATAACAACAAAAAGCAAAACACTTTTCCTGACACTATCCAGGGGCGTAAATATAGACAGATCAGGCAGTATGGTTGCACTAGGGCCCATGTGGAGGAGGGGCCCAATTGCCACCTGGAAATACGCCCGTGTTCAAAGAAGAGCTCAAGTTAAGTAAACAATGGAGCGATTTTCTACATATGCCCTCAAAAAGGCAAACCCATCTCCATCATGGCATTCTGTGTCTGAAAAATAGTATCAGTCTATAACAAAAGTATGTTTATTCTATATAAATACAAAAAACTATTTAGTTAAACTCATAATTTCCTATTTTCTTTTGTAGTTTTTGTCATACACAGATATGTAATGATGATTGCTGGGTATTATCAAGTCTTTGTTAATCACGTGACGAGACAATACGATTCACAGCTAGGTGCAAAATCTCATAAGTCTGACAAGCTGGGCACATCTGCAAACAGATATAACATAAGAGCAACAGTAAAACACACTGTTACGCCTAAATGTCTGTGTGTGCTTAATAACTACTAACTAAGGCGCACTAGGGCCCGTCATAACAGCGTGCACTGGAGCCCATCGTAACTATCCGCTGGCACTATCCCAGCAGAGAATGCAGCAATGTCTCGGTAAAAAGTGACCGCTTTTTGTGGCACAATCCTGGTAGGAAACACAGCAACATCCTGGTTAAAGATAACCACTTTTTGTGGCACAAGCCCAGCTGGAAATGCAGCGACATCTCACCTCAGTAAAAGCCCACCCTTGCTGCAACCCCGGTCTCACTATGAAGTCGTTGAAATCTGGCGCTTGGGCAGTGACTTGTAGCATCAGACACTGGTGAAAAAAAGCCCTTCTTTAACGTTGGCATGATACGCAGCTGGTTGCCATTATAGTTTAATGGCGCTCAGCGGTGTCAGGGGGAAACACGGTGGGACAAGAATGAAAGTTAAGGTGGTAAAAGTCCAAGTAGGGTGGGGTGGTGGTGGATGGGTCCAACAAACACAGACCATCACCCAGGAGAGCTGTGTTTGCATCCTGTAAGATTCCAAAGCCAAACCCTGTTCTTTTTTCCTAAACTCAACCATGTGTGTTAGCTGTTGAAGGAAAAAGACATCAATTTGTGTTGTACCAACGTAGTGCTTTTATTTTGAAAGAGACTGTATGCAGACGGTATAATTCCTGTGAGAACCGAAGTGTATTTTGAAAGAAGACAATGCATGTAACAGGCAGAACTTGACATGGCGTCCCAGAACATCAACAACCAACACACCCAGGGTACCTTTGACATCGTATGTGGACGTGGTGAGTCCATGACCAAACGTCGATATGTGACGAGGTCGAAGTGTCACTGTGGCACTAGTCTCTATATACAGACTCTACATTCAGTGAATGTAGAGTCTGTAGGCAAACCCCTGAGATCTTGCCTCTGGAAGAAGAGCGGAAGAGCCCTGGTTTCCGGTTGTAGGCTGTTTGTAGTCCGTGTGATATTGACCAATCATGTTTGAGCCGGCTGCAGTTGTTGCCAGGTTAAACGGTCCGTATGGTGAACTAATGAGGCAGAACATAATTGGCGTCACTGCAAACTCTGAATCCATCGCAATTGTTCGGCATATTTACTTAAACGGAAGTTGGAAACGGAAATTCGCCTCCTCCGCCCAAATCAAACCGGAATGCCAAAAAATCAGGGGTCTGCCCCCAGAGGCTGTATCGCCGTCTGCCAGAAGTCAGACGCCGAATAAAGCCAATGGGTTCCGAGAATGCTGTGGCACTAACCCCTAAACACACCCACATTTGATGTTTAAAAAGCTGCTGGAAACACAGCGATGACTCCCTAAAAAACAACCAGTTTTGTTGCATTCTGCCGAGGTCACACACCATTCACCATGACGAAGTCAACCTAGAAACACTGACATGACACGTACGAAACGCACAAAAGTATCTGTGGTTTGCAGAAAAACACAATGCCAGCAGTTTATTCTGAGAAATCTGTTCCACAAAGTCAACCTCTAACCTGCAGGTATCAGTTAAACATCCCCAACGAAAGATACAACTGAAAAAATTCTTGAATCTGCACATTATTCACCTCTAGAGGCATCCGGAGTTTTATTTTATCACTGATTCAGTCTGAGGTCTTATGCTCTCCCAAGGGTGTTTCACTCCACCTACACTTCAGACAGTTACATAATGTTTTATCAGGGGCTTTAATAACCACAGAGATCTGCTAAAATGGGGCTCTGTGGCAGAGTCAGCGGAGCCCTCGAGCTGAGAAGGAAGAGGAACATGTAGATTTAAGTGAAAGGTGTTTGCATTTTGATCCTGGTCAGTTATTTACAAGGGTGAAACCTGTGACTCGTACTCATTTGAGTTCAGAATGTCTATTGAAGCATATGAGCTGGGGAAGATGAAGAACATCTGGATTTTTAGGTGCAGATTGCATTTTGAAACTTTCAGTGGTGGACAGATGAGGGAGAGACCTTTATAGTGAGCTGTATTTCTTACTCTGGTGGGATCTCATTGGAGCTCCTGCACAGTGACACACTGAACTGTTAAACTCCAACCTGTAGTCAGAGCAGAGCAGAGCCTCCTACCTGCAGCCAGCTGCATCCAGCCGCAGATCTTGTACACGGTGCCGGTGCTGCAGAAGAAGAAGAGCGCGAAGCAGCCGATGCAGGTGAGCACCAGCACCATGGACATGCCGATGAAGAAGGAGGCGGCCTTGAACGCACCGGAGGGGATGGTGCTGAACTCGGTGAAGCTGCCCTGGCAGGTCAAGTCCCGGGACAGCCCGTTCCCGATGCAGTAGTGGAACAGCCCGAAGTAGCCCGCCTGCGGTGTGTCCATGCCGTCCCCGATCCAGTAGGGCTGGATGAAGCACACCACGTTGACGATGGCGAAGAGGATGGTGAAGATGGCCCACAGGACGCCGATGGCGCGGGAGTTGCGCACGTAGTTGGTTTGGTAGATTTTGGCAGCCTCGGAGGCGGGGAGCATGGTGGTGGTGGTGCTGGGGGCCCCGGGGATCATCCTCCAGTCTGTGTGAAGGGGGGTCTGCTCGGTCCTCAGGATCAAACTCACATCTGCCGCATCTGATCCGAAAAAGGCAAAAATCACAGCTTTGAGCAGAACTTGTTCTCAGATTTTAATTTCTCAGACTTGAGTCACAGATGTGTCCACGGCATCACTGCACTCTCGTCTCCATGGCGAGCTCGGGTTTTCTTTCCTGGTGTTTTCCTCCGGTTTTCATTCATCACTCTCGCAAATGTGCGCTCCGTGGAAAAACACAATCATCAGGAGCACATCCTCCCGTGGATTCATCCTACATCTGTCCTCATATTCACCAACATTCAGCCTGTGGAAAATGTCGCTGCCAGAGTCGTGTCCAGAGCCGGAGAGTGTTATTCCTGTGTGATTCAGTGTGTGAGAGCTCGCTGTAATGGTCCGTGTGTGCTCGACGACAGAGCCACAGCCGCAGCTCAGCTCCTATTGAATTAGAGTAGGAGGATAGCCTCGGATATCACAGGGCCAGCCCACATCCCTTAATCCCAGCATGACGTATTATTCCAGTAACACGCGCGAAATTTTAAACAGACACAAGTGAATAATGAAAAACAACAAGTGGAGCTGATTGTCCCAAATGTAATGCTCATATAATCCCACTGTGTGACAGCTGCACCAACAGCCTGTTAGCGGGGTGTGGACACATGCACCAAGAATTACTGCACATAAATGTCTCTATTCAGCAATAATATTTATAACAGTAATAAAAGAAATAACATAAACTAACAAACTAACATTCAGTGTCTGTCTGACCTAGTCATCAGAAAACTACAATAATGTTTCCAGAAATTGCTTGTTTTGTTTTGTTTTTTTTTGGCAAAAATATAGCCATTGTGATGTAAAATATGTATTTAACATATTACATCGTATATGTTATATACACATTAATTACACTGTGTAATTATTCTTAGGCTATATCTATCATTATATAATTATACTATGTCGTATATATCTAAATATTATATATATATATTATTAAATGTAAATAAATAAATATATAATGTTATAATAATGTTATATAAGATAGTAGCCTATACTAATTTCTTATGAATGTTATTATAATATATGCAATATTTTATTTAAAATATTGCATACATTATGTAATCTTTATAATATATTATTATACTATTATTATATAATATAATATATTTATTTAAATTTAATAATATATGTAAATTATATCATATAAATATATATGTAAATATATCATTAAATTAACTAAACTAACTAAATAAATATATGTTATATAATATTAGAATTTATTATAAATGTTATATAATATATGCAGTATTTTCTCTATATAAAATATTTAATATTAAAATATTGCAATATTATATAATATTGCATTTATTATAAATTAGTTACAATATATTATTATATTCTATTATATAATATTATTTATTTATTTATCCATAGTTTCTCCTGGCCTGGGATCAATAGGACCCTATAATTATAAAAATCTAAACATTGTCAACAATAATAAAATCCCAGTGTCCTCAAATGAGTACTTCCTAATTAACAGTGTCTTATCTTGTTACTGCTGCTACAAAAATTGGTCAAATTTGTTGCCATATCAAACTACACACATAACTTATCATGAATAAACAAGTTTCAACCGTAAAATGTGATTAGATTTTGGACCTTGTCCACTTCTGTGTCGGGATCAGCTGCAGATTGACTTGGCAGAGATGGCTGCCATCTTGTTTTTTTGTTGTTGTTTTTTTTTTTTTTAGAATGCATTAGTGTATGGTGGTCTCACTACCACTAGATGGCAGACAAAAGTGTCCACAAACGAGGACAACAAGTCTAGGTTAAACCCAAGTAAACCCAAAATGTGATGCCCTCATATGATATATATATTTCTATACTTTTTCAGTAATAATACTGAACACCATGTTTGCATTAGTATCCTGTGCAACTATAAATCATGAACATACAGTAGGCCTATCTGTATAAGTGAAAGGCAGTGCTGGGAAATAACTTACGTGTAATTGAATTACACAGTAAATGTAATTGTAATCAATTATAGATACTGAGAAAATATATCTACAAAAGGGTTACATCCACAATATCACCTATTCTTTTGTGTAAAAAGTTTATATGTAGAATGTAACATTCTTTCTGTTGCTTTGCATCTTTTTCCTGTGCAGGAATGCCTGTTTTTTGGCCTATTCCCAGGCATTTTTCAGCTTTATTGCCCACTTTAAAACATTTGTTAGAAAAGTAATTAAAAAATATTCAAATGTTAGTAATACGTCATCAAAATGGTAACATTACATATCACATTTTTAACAGGGTTACTAGTAACCTGAAGCCTTTTTTTTTTTCAAAATCAAGCTTTCCAACATTGGTAAAAGGTGTATGTAGTGTATACAGCTTTTATATTATCTCAAATTTACCTTTATCAGATTTGTATTTTTGTCGTATTTTTATTCTTATGCATCACTCAATCACTTTTTTTCCTTTTTTGTTTTGCTTCTGATTATATAAAGATGTATGTGCGTGTGTTTTAAAAGTATATTAAAGCATCTAATGAGCTTTAGTTCCACAAAAACTAGTTTTAGAGCCAAAGACTCCATTACCCATGATTCTGTGTGTGATTTCTGATTGGCCAGTAACCGAAGACTGTCATTTGACGTAATCCGAAGGCGCGCGCGAAACTCCTGTGAGTGTGTTCAACTGTTTGTTTGTGATTTAAACTTTTAACGTAGCTTTTCACCGCATTTTGAGTTTGTTACACATTTTATTCTCAGTTATGGACATTTCCATGATACTCTGTCGTGTTCACAGTGAATAGTTTCCTACAAATTTCCCCGTTTTGGTCGCATTTTTACAGAATACCGTCGTGTGTGCTTTAACTGTACGTGAAAACTAGCTAACGTTAACTTGTAGCTGTCACTGACCTCTCACAGTGTACTTCACATACACGGTGCTGTGGTTGGTAGTAGGAAGACCAGGATGTCAGCGCCGTTACAGCACCCAGGATATGAGGAGGAGAAGCTGCAGAGGGTCTCGGAGCAGCTGCCCTGCAGAGGGGTCCAGGCGGGGATGCTGCTCTCGCTCATGGGGCAGGTATGTAGGCTGGTGTCAGGTCCTGTCAGCGCCGGGGTTTCGCTCAGGTAGTTACCCACTGATAGGCTGTGTGCACCTGGTCGCGGGAGCGCGCACGTATTAGGTGAAGGTGGATTTTTATTTTTTTTTTACATTAGTAAGTAACTGGACAATAGAAGATTGGAAAAACGTTGCCTGGTCTGATGAGTCTGGATTTCTGCTGCAACATTCAGATGGTAGGGTCAGAATTTGGTGTAAACAACATGAAAGCATGGATCCATCCTGCCTTGTATCAACGGTTCAGGCTGCTGGTGGTGGTGTAATGGTGTGGGGGATATTTTCTTGGCACACTTTGGGCCCCTTAGTACCAACTGAGCATGGTTTAAACCCCACAGCCTACCTGAGTATTGTTGCTGAGTGTGTCCATCCCTTTATGACCACAGTGTACCCATCTTCTGATGGCTACTTCCAGCAGGATAACGCATCATGTCACAAAGCTCAAATCATCTCAAACTGGTTTCTTGAACATGACAATGAGTTCACTGTACTCCAATGGCCTCCACAGTCACCAGATCTCAATCCAATAGAGCACCTTCGGGATGTGGTGGAACAGGAGATTCTCATCATGGATGTGAAGCCGACAAATCAGCAGCAACTGTGTGATGTCATCATGTCAATATGGACCAACATCTCTGAGGAATGTTTCCAGCTCCTTGTTGAATCTATGACACCAAGAATGACCACAGTTCTGAAAGCAAAAGGGGTCCCACCTGGTACTAGCAAGGTGTACCTAATAAAGTGGCCTGTGAGAGTAAATGTGTAAAGTTAGGGTTTAATATCTTTATAAAATTATGTTTCATCAGATGAATAGTTATTCCTGTTGTAAAAAAAAAAAAAAAAACATTTAATCAAGTTACATTTGTCCATTTTGCATTAGGGTATTGGTTGATATAGTAATATTTAGAAAATGTTTAATGTTCTTTGTAGGAGAATGAACTTGTGTGTGTAGATTGTAACTGATCATAATGAAATGTCATATTTGTATTAAGTGACAACATTTCTTCTTACAGCCACACCAGTACAGCTACCCTTCGATCTTCATCTATGGCCATCGGGCTTCAGGGAAGAGTCATGTGATGCATGTTCTGCTGAAGGAACTTGAGGTGAGAGACATTTGCTGAAGTTTGTTACAGATGAAAGAGTTTGACTCAGTGTCTACTTCAGGCTCATATAAACCTGAAACAGATGCTGGTACTTTAGCCATGTAGAGCCTCCTTCGTCAGACCGCTGAAAGAGCGCTTAGTCCTTGAAAATATATCTTTTATTTTTAATAAATTTTATTGCAGCTCAGAGAAATCTCATTTCTCAGTGTGCACAAAGCTTTGTGTTTGTACTTTGAATGTGTGTGTAGGCTTATATTTCCTTTCTTGATTTAAAATGTATGAACAGAATCACAAGGTGTCTGTTTTAGATTCCTTCCCACCCTTTGCACCCACACTTTGAGCTTTTCCCCCTCGGGGAGACGTTATAGACAAGTAACAGCCACAGAAAATGTGCGCAGTAAGTCTTTCTTGCCGACTACAGTTAGAATGCTTAATGCATCACCTCATTATCAAATTACAGACATACGTACAGCTTTTTGTTTTTGTTGAATTTATGTTTTGGTTAATCAGGTTTTTTCTCGAGATGTTGCAACAAGTTATTATTATTTTCATTGTTTATAAAATGTTAGAAAAGGTAAAACCCAACACAACGTCCTCAAATGTTTTGTCCACAACCCAAATATATTAAATTCACTGTGATAGAAGAGTAAAGTACCTAGAAATGTGAATATATTGACATTTAAAAAGCTGGAATCAAGTATTAAAGATGTTTCAAATACTCAGAATCGATATGTATGGATAGATTGACATGTTTGACTCCTCCTATTGTAACAATAAAAAACAGCAGGGGAGATTTTTGACAGTTTCTGTACTTAATGCTTCACTGAGGACAGATTGCAAATGTTCAGTGTGCACCAAATACAAAGCAGAGAGCCAAGACAATATGTACTTAACAATATCAAACTGACTGTCTCTCATCATCCCTCCTCTCTGCAGCTTCCTCACACCACAGTCAGCTGTGTCGAATGTGTTTCAGTCGCGTTGCTATTTGAACAAGTGCTGCTGTCCTTCTTTGGCTGCGACGCCGCCTCGCTGCTCCCCCGCAGTCCCTCCCTGTCTGACTTTGTTCGCATCTACAGACAGCAGCGCTCCCAGTCTCCTGCCAAGCAGACGCGATACATTGTGAGTGCCGTGCACTTTATGCCCAGCCACGAAAAATCACTGCTCACTTGGAACATGGCATCACTGTAATCCATGCGACATCAAATAATTTATTCTTTGGCTGTGTCACTGAAATGTTTGTGTGATAATATGATTAGTGGTAATAACACATGCAAATAGATGCTGAAACAAAGCT